ATTGAATACTTTACAACTAATTGATCATTAAGGGTAATTCATCAAAAGAAATAGTCCAATACCAGCATCACGAAACATTGTCATGTGCTTCACTGCAGCGCCTAGTTCTCGTTTGACCACTAATTGTTGTTTTTCGAAAATCATCACAGAACCATACGAATCACCAACAATGATATCAGGTATACCAAATCCAGTAATATCGCAAAGTATAATAGATTGTATAGGGCCACTCTTCGTTTCCATCATAATTCCTTCCTGAATTCAAGTAGGTACCATTAAAGAGGAGGTAGAATAAATCTATAATGAGCAAAATTAAACGATTTGTAATAATAGCAGAAACGGAAAGAGATTTTTCAATCGTATTTTATGGCAATTTGCTTACCTTATTCTCACCAAACATAAATACTTTTCCTTCATTTGTTCCAACTATAATATACGAGGTTTCCTTATGGACTGTCTTTGAGGATTTTTCAGAGGGAAGTGCACCCACTATTAGACAGTTCACAGAAGATGCTAATTTTCGCGTCCAAAGTCGCTTAAAGGTAGGTAATGTTATGCGAGTTCGTTTATTGGGACGAAATGCAAAGTGAGGAGGTGGAGAGTGTGACCTCGTAGGCTTATTCACATTTAATTCAGAAGTATTTACTAAGGTATCCATATTTGACGCGTTTCTAGTTTATGAAATATCTAACGTGTGTACAAGAAACCGGCCAATAATGTGCAACCAAGTAGAATTTTGGATCGAAACATAATTTCATTATTTATATTTATAATAAACAACAAAAAGTTTCTCTCGTTTAGTTGAATACAAATTTTCGCAATGAGTAATTTCCAAAATGTTCAACCTTATGTTGTTTATCAGCCACAGCATTCAAGCTCGCCTCCTCCTTTACAGCATCCTATACCACAACATCCTATACATATGCGAGATCCACCTGCCCCTTCACCTTCTCCTCCAACACAACAACGCTTTTCTCACCCACAACAAGGTCCACCCGATCTTAATGCCATATGGAATTTTAATGACAGTACTGCGCAAATGGGAATGCAGTTTGGCAAAACTGCAGTATTAGCGGGAAGTGATTTTGTTGAGGAAAAAGTAAGGTGTTTTCCTTAAGGTTTCATAAACAATATATGTGATCAATTGATTTTTAAAGTAGATTTCTTTGATAGGATTGATCAATTTTTGAAACCCTTATATATTATTATTTGAAATGACAATTTTCGTTTATACGTTACAGATTAATCGTTACGTAAATTATCCAGCTCTGAAACATTACTTTAAAGTCAATAATTCTTACGTAGCAAACAAGATCAGGTTATTGCTTTTTCCTTGGAGACATAAGGTAAACAGGCAAGTCGAATTTCAGGAGTATTTTTTACTTCGTGTCTTAATTTCCCTTTTCCGAATTCTTATCATTATGATTGAATCTGAATAATGTGCAGTATTGAATTCACTGAAGGGAAAAAATTATTATCGACGTTGTATTTTTTAACAAAGCTCAATATTTCGATTATTGTTTTTCACTTGATTTTTTACATAGACGCGTTTTTAAGCTTTTATTGAAGTTGATTAATTTTTTTATTGTGGATGATTAATTACAGCCATGGTCAAGACTTGTAAAACGATCAGAACAAAATGGTCAAATGGAGGGTTATAAACCACCAAGGGAAGATATAAATTCTCCAGATTTATACATACCAGGTATTTTTGTTATCCATATTTCTTTGCTCGATTAAGCGGAATATTTATTTATTATCGCATTTCCACACATCTAACTTTATATTAGTAATGGCATTTGTAACATATGTCTTATTGACGGGAATTGTAGCGGGAACCGAACACAAGTGAGAAATATTTTCCGAATTTTCTTACTTTTCATCGTAATAAACATTCTGTTTACCGAAATTTCTTTCCTGACGATGCGATGAACGAATAGATTTCACCCAGAAGTATTAGGCATGAATGCCACCACAGCATTTCTTATAGTTATGCTAGAACTCGTTTTCATAAAAACCGGATGTTATTTATTGAATATATCTTCCGAAACCCATTTTTTGGATTTAATGGCTTATTCGGGATACAAGTTTATCGGGTGTGTATCTTTTGGGTATTTGATGGTTTATTCGGTCTACTTTCCTTAACAATTTATTCAATTAATTGTCTCTTGCTATTTTAAAGGACTATTATGACACTTATGGTCTCATTAATCGCTCCATTCTGGGTTGTTGCGGTTACTTTTATTTATACAGCCTTTTCTACTGGGTTTTTCTTGGTAAGATTTTGCAGTGAAAGTTAAATACTCGTTTTAAGCGCTTTCTAACTCTTATAATCGTATCTAGCTTCGATCTTTGCGTTATGTCGTCTTTCCTGATTCGACAACAACGGTTAATGTTCCGCAACGCAAACGAAGGATCAATTTTTTATTTTGCATTGCGGCTCTTCAAGTTGTTTTGATGTATTTTCTTGTAAAATAGAGTCATTATTTTTGTCGTTATTACTATTTTAAAAAAATTATACAATTCTCGAAACAGAAACTTAATATTTGATGGTTATGGTAATTATTTAAAATATTATTTTTAAAATATTTAAAATAACTATTATTATTGGATTATTTTACTTAAAGCATTATACTTTTCCTCTTCTGATTTTTGTAAACAATAAAATGCTTTTCTTCAATTTTAGTTTAGTTTCTATTTGCAAGACTGTGAGATACAATGCTGTGAGATGATTTAATCTGACCTGACCAGAATCATTACATAAAATGAAGTGCATCATGTATGATATGATAAATTTAAAGACGGGTTGAATAGTTTGCCATCCGTTAGATATCTCTAATGGATCACGATTTGATTGGGAACACGGTTAAGACCTTTTGATTAATTGAATTTCTTTTACAGCATCATTACGAGACGGCAAAAATGAAAAATCCGGAATATCAATTGATTATCAGAGAATTCTTTTTTTGTCCAAGTTTAAGGTTTCATACAATTATAGAGAGATAGATAAATATATATATATATATACAGCAACGTGAAATTAGCGGCGATCATTACAAATTAAATTTTTGTGTAAGATGATTATATTTTATCGCTAATCATATTTGCTAGCGTTAACATGACGATAATGATTATATCGACTTTTTTGTTTAAAAAAATTGCGTCAAGTGGAGTAAAATTTTAATTTTTTTTGCATCGGCACAACAACAATCATTGTGTGAAAAAAAGCGCGTGTTGTATTACCAGGAAAATAAACGGTGAAAAAATTACCAAATTTTTCACCTTATTATGTTTTTTGATAATACCTATCTCAAATTTACCCCTTGGGAAAAGGGAAACATTTATGGACACAATTACGATAATTATTGCCATTGTTAAAGATTATGCGAGATACCGCGAACGGAGAGCATTGCCATGCACACTGTCTACAATTTACGTTATTCTTCACCGACTGTCTATTTCTGTTTCGATGTTGGTTATTCAACACTGCTACCGTTTCGTTTACGCCGAATTTTTTGTCATTTTTAGTTACCGTCAATAGGTTGATAAATGATGTTATCGTAATGCAAATTGAGCAAATTTAGTTCTTTTTTATGCAAGGAATCGTGTGAATGTAGTAATTGGGTGTGCCTGATCGGGAAGTTTGAATTTTTGTTATTTCTGTTTGACTCCTTTTTGGTAAAAATAGACGAGTTCCACCAACTTTTTTGATTGATTGATAAACACACATTACGGATTGATGTTTTCTGGAGAATTTGTTGCTGTCTCTCCGGATTACGTTACTACGCGTTCATAAATTTTGAATTTCCCAATTAATGATGATGAATAACAATAAAAAAGAAACTTTATTAATATTATTGGTGAATGGAGGAAATGCACGGTAAAAATTGTCGGATTAATTAAAAAAAACCACTTAAAAGAATATCATTGATCGAATCAACTTTACGCAGCACATTAAAGAAAGCGTAGTAAAATAAAATAGTGAAATGAGGCGCATTTCTGTTCATAACATTATGATGATATATTATCTAATATATTAAATTATATATATGTGTACTGTAAACACGCACACACACATATATATATATATATATGATATAACTGCGTAAAAGAACAAACATCTCATGACCCTTTCTATATTACAGTAATACATCTTTGTACGATTGTTACTGATGCCGTTTAAGCTTTTTGTATAACAAAATAGATACCACATACCACACCTATTAATTAAATTTAACACTCATCTAATTAATAGGTAGATTTGATTGAGTTGTATCCCTCTTTTTGTATTTGTGTATTTTGTATAAATAAGCTTATGATTTTTTCAAACTTACACGTTAATTTTTTTTTTCTGAAATTTATCTTCAAGTTACTTTTGAGCGAAACAAACATACGCTCTAATAGATATCAGAGAACATAAAACAACTTGTACGAACACGCATTCGCTCTCTCCTCGAGATAATTTCTCAACTATTTGACGAAAGAAAAGAATAATAAAACGGTAATAATAAGAACCCACTCAAAATGTCGCAAGGTAAGAAGAAAAACAGTCCTTCTATTACCAACTTTTTTTCGCGTCAAATACGCAAGTTACAATTACCCGCTTTCCCGTATAACAATTCCAATCAACAAATAGACTATCAAAGGCAAAATCAATTCGTTCCGCCACCATTGATCAAAGAGCGTTCGTGGAGCATGCTAGCGAATGAAACTTTCATCGACGAAGAAGACTATGAGGACTTTTCAGCCTACTTTAATAGCCATCATAATAATAATAATAACATCACCAGCACCAATGGATACCGTAACAATTTTGGGACGCCTTCTTTGTTAAATGAAAAATCGTGGAGTATGCTATCTAACGATTTTGAAGAACGAAGATTTCTCAACAATCACACCTACAACACGGATAACTTAAGTCGTAACTACAGTAGTAATGTATATAATGCAACCTATAATC